GGGGGGGGCAGTCTTTAACCCTACCTGCCCCCAGAAACAGAGATGGCAGAATGTCTGCCAAGTGCTTTGAGGGTTTAAAATAGAAAGAAAGAAAGCTTTCATATCATTCACAAGAGTCCCTAAAGTCACGTTCTTTTTCCCTGCAGAGCTAAGGTCTAAAATACCTTTCCTATACTTCCTGCCTCCCCTACAACCCTGTACCTGTTAAAGACAGCATTATTATCCCAATTACCCCTGCTAGAAAACAGCCATTTCTGATTATTCTTTTCTTCTACCTCCTATATCCATCAAAACATCACCACTTTTATACTGTCTCTTCTTTTGAAAAATGAGTCTCAGTGCCTACTGCTATCATGATAGTCCAGAACCTGCTATGAATTCATGTGTGGATTACTGCAATAGTAGGCATTACATGATGAAAGTATTTTTGAGAAAGAACAGTCTGGCAGAAGTATGAAAGGTGGCCTGGAGGAAGATACCTCCTTGATACTCATCTTCCCTTGCCACTTCCAATTACATCAAGCTCCTCTACCTGGCTTTCAAGACCTTTGGATGTCCCACAGGCATCTTGAATTCAACAAGTCCATAATTCATTATATTTTTCTTCAAATCCACCCTCCTCCAAACTTCCCCTTTTCTGTAAAACTTCCATTCACCAGATCTGAAAACCACTCTTCCTTCTCACTTTCTATTTCCATCAGTTGTTGATTCTAATACCACAACATTTGTTGCATCTGTGTTCTCTTGACTCACACAGTTTTGTTTCTCATTTGGACTGTTCCATTAGCCATCTAATTGGTCTCCTCCTTGTTTCTTATCTCTACTCCTTCCAAACCATTCTCCACTCAGATGCCAAACTGATATTCTTAAACTATAAATCTGATTACTTTTCTCTCATATTCAAATTTTTTCTATGGCTTCCCAATGCATCTAGGCCAAAAATGAAATCCTCAGTCTATTACTTAACGCCTTCCATAATTTGGCTCCCAGCTACCTCTTCAGTCTTATTTCTCATTACTTCCACTTTGCACATTCTCCATTCCAGTCAAACTGTCCTAGTCTCTCCCCATAAATGACATTCCATCTTCTACCTCTATCTCTTTATACAAATGGTTTCCTGTTCACTGGAATGCACCCTCTCCTCATTTCTATGAGGAATCCTTCCTTACTTTCTTTCAAAGCACAACTCAAGTGTTATCTCCTCTAGGAAGACTTTCCTAACCTCCAACTCCAGCTATTAGTGCTCTCTCCCTATTGAAACTACTTTGAATAAAGTTTTCTTTGTACAAGTTGTATCCCACAATAGAACATAAGTGCCCTGAGGGCAGGGACTATTTTGTTTTTGTCTTTGAAATTCCAGCACTTTGCAATGTCCGGAATAATAGGCACTTGATAAATGTTTACCAAATTAAATTCATCTGCCATAGTATGGCTCTAGCCTACCTAGTCAACTTTATTCATCACCCACATTGAGAAAAATCCCTTTGCTCTGCTGTGTTTGTATATCCTAATGCTCACTATTGCTCCCAGCTTGGATTGCCTTCTCCTTTCTACATAAAGAAATTCAACTCATCCTTCAAAGACCAAATGAAATCCTACCTACTCTCATGCAGCCTTTCCTGATTATTCACATTCCCAGTGATTTTTTTTCTTCTTTGAATACCCACTTCACTTATAGTCTATGCCACACCATTTAACACTTAACTATGTACTCTCCTTTACTGTTCCCTAGCTGTTTAATAAACACGACTCTATCCTCAGCTACACTGTAAGCTTCTTGAGGACAGTGATTGTATTGTCCATTTCTTCAGAATTCCCCATATTTCTATGCTGGACTTCTAATAAATAATAGTGATGACAAAGGTTGATGTTAACACAGGGCTGTAACATTTCTAATGTGCTGTACACACATTCTTTCATAAGACCCTCATAGCAATCATGTTAGGCAAGAATTTTATCATTCTCATTTTACATATGGGAAAACAATCTTAGAGAGGTTAAGTGATTTGCCCATGGTCGAACAATTAATAAGTATCAGAGGTAATTTTTAATCCAACTCTTTTCTGATTTCAAGACCAACAATCTCAATTACAACATCCCAACTCTTTACTACACTACTGGTACTTAATAAATAATAATTAAGTAATTTATCCATGAGGTTTTTTGAACATTTATCAGGAAACCTGCTAGCACCTATCTAAGGAATTACCTGTATTTTCAGTCTCCTTTAAACTAGGATTAAATCAGATTTCTAAAAACATGACAGTTTAATTCATAGAGACCGTATGATAATAGCTTTAGGAGAAGGGAAGTAAAAAGCCTGACAAAATCTTCCCAAACTATTACCAAATATCTCTCAACACACCAAAGTCTACACTCTAACTCAACAAACATTTGTTTTGGTTGTTCTGCATTCTTTCTGTGCAGAGTATAGTTCTTGGTATAAGGAGAGATACAAAAATAAACAAGATATAGTCCCTGTTTTCATGAAGCTTACAATCATACACCTTTGGGTTGATCATTTCACCTGAAGTTATCCTTCTGAATTGTCGTTTTAAAAAAATATATAGTAATAATAAACAATATAACTTGATAGCAGAGAACTAATACCAATTCCCATCCTTGATCAGGATATTCATGTATGTGAATTGGACCAGAATGAACTAGTCTAAGATCTCTTTCAGCCCTGAAGACTCCTTTCTGTGAATCTGAGTCTTTGTTTCTAGAAAAAACAACTGAAGTCAATAATCACTGACACGATTGGTTGCACTCAGAAAAATAGCTTCCCTCCCACTCAGAGGACTGGCTCCCATAGATTAGTGGTACAACTTAGGTTCAGAAGATAGCTATGCTTTCAATCAATGACATTTCCTGTGAATAGCTGGGAGAATAAATTATACTGCCATTTCACATTTTTCGTATTAAAAAAAAATCACTTTGGCCAAGTAAAACAGCCAAATTAAATGCAAAATTCAGTTACCTCCTCCACAGTTTGATGTGCTCCTGATCAGAGTAGGCTTTAAGGCACTCTGATATTCGGTCCCCAATCTTCAGGAGGCAGTTTCGGGTGTGCTCTAGCTGTTCCTGCACAGTGAGTCCCTTGTCTGGTTTATCCAGCTGCTTCAAAGCCTTTTTCACTGGCCTCATCCTCTCTTTGCACTGGGGTAGAGCAACAGAGTAGAGATTACTTTTACTTTTACACAGAAATCTTCTACTCCCTTGCTTTTTATGCATAATGTTCTCAACTGAGAAGGGCCTAGACTTTTAGGGCAAGACACACACACACAAAAAAAAACCACATTCCCTAAACAGTACTGTTCTCTGGGGCAATCAAAGCAGAAGTATTAAAAAAAAAAAGTCAGGAAATACAGAAGTGTTGTGAATTTTCAAGTCAGATACTTTATAGCCAAGAAACAGATGAGACATTTGATTTACTAAATAAATACTTGATTGAACACTATTAGAAATAGCTACTGAACTCTCTTAAGTCTTATAGATTCAATTTGCAAACATTTCACAAACACGTGCTATGTGCAGAGTACTATGCTAGGCACTAAGGAAGATAAAGAGATTAATAAGAGACCTTGTTCTGATGGGGCTTATAGTATAATGAGAGCTACAACACATAACATGAAAACTGTAACACAAAACAAAATTGATCATGATGGTACAGAAGAGAAATATCAAGTGCTATGTGAAGTCCAAGGAAAGATCATTTTAACTGGGAATTTGAAGGTAAGGAAAGAAATCAGGGAATACTTCATAGGGGAAGAAGTATTTGATCTAAGTCTTGAAGGATGGCTGAGATGTCAATAGGTTGAAATGGGGGAAATTTCAGGCTTAGGAAATGGTATAAACAAATGAGATAATATTTATAAAATGCTTAGTACAGTGTCTGGCACTCATTCTCTTCCCACCACGTAACAGACCTCAGAATGTATGGTTAGTACTATGCAACAAATGATACGAAAGATAGAGAGCATGGAATATTATATTAAGCAGAGGGACATGAAAGGATGGAGGGAAGTGTTGACTTAGAATGGGATTTCGATTTCTGTACCACAACTTAAAATACAGGAATGACGGGGTACTAATGACAGTAAGAGTACAGCTGATAGAACGTATTTTTCTGGTGTCTGGAGAATTTAATCAAAAAGCTTTTAAACTAAAAAAATGAGGTGGAGATAAACTGCCCAGGTACATCCACCAAGCTGTATTCCAAAGATTAAAACTACACTGAAGAAAGAAGAATAGCAGCTGAGACATGCATGCCAAAGATCACAGAACACAAAATTCAAGAATAAAGTCAGTAATAAAATCCATGGTATCAAATGCCTACCAAGAAATGTAAAAATTTGGGTGAAGGTCCTATGTCTTCTTTGATCCTCATTTTCCTACCAATATAGCCAAAAAGAGGAATTTTCAGGGTATTTAAGAAATGTTGTTACCTAAATAGAGTCCATATGATTTTAGAGAGTTAAAAACTTAAATGTCAAATCCAGCCTCAGACACATAATACTTCCTAGCTGTGTGACTCTGGGCAAATCACTTAACCCCCAATTGCCTCACTAAAAAAAAAAAAAATCTTAGTGTCAATACCATTCAACAAATATTTGTTGAGCAAATCAGATACCTCATCTGCTTTCTGGATTTATAAACATCTGATCTGTTGAAAATACAAAAAAATAAAAAATAAAAAAAAGAAGGGTAGCTATATTGGGAGGAAAAAGGAGGATCAAACAATATATAAGCTCTTTGCCTAAACTTTGCACATTTATATACAAGCTTTGGTGGCCATGGACTTGACTACAGGCTTCTTAAAGACTGTGTGTTCTGTGAACTTCTGGATGTGTCAGTTGCTGTATTTATGATCTATGTAATATCTATGTAATTTAACTTGATAAACATACATAGGGTAACACTTCTGGTCAAAATGACTGCATGAATAGGACACATTGAGGGCAGCTAGGTGGCACAGTAGATGAAGCACTGGCTCTGGAGTCAAGAGGACTTGAGTTCAAATCCGGCCTCAGACACATAACAGTTACTAGCTTCGTGACTCTGGGCAAGTCACTTAACCCCAACTGCCTCGCCCAAAATAAATAAATAAATAAATAAGCAAATAAATAAATGGGACACATGCTATTCCAGCAAAACCAGGAAGTCTGTATCAGAATGAATAATGGTCAAGAAATCCAATGAGAAACTACAGTAAGTTAAATCTTCTACCCCAGAACTGCACAAGAGACCAGTGAGAAGCCTATGGGGCACATAAGAGGAGGCTATCAGTCAAAGCCAACATCAGTGCATCTGAGTGCAACCAGAGAGTGGCCAAAGACACATGTAGCTTGTGAGGCTCTATGTCCAGAAGAAGCAAGAGGAGATGGCTCTCCCTAGAAAGCCAGGGGTAATTAGAAACCCTAAGGATAGGAGCCTAGCCAGTGCAAGGGAGTGGCAACAGACAGAAACCAGCATGGTGCCACAGCAGTCAGACAAGGATGCCACAGGTCTAAGCGTTCTCAAGTCCTAAATACTCTGTCCTGAGACATAAGAGAAGGCCCAGAAAGCATAAAAACTATGAATTTAGTCTCTTGTCTTGCCCTCAGTCATAACCAAGCAGAAATGACCACCTCGCCCAAAATCCCAGGATGGAAGGGAGGAATGACTTGTGGTAGTACAAAGTCCCAAATTAGGAATTAAATCTGGAGAGATGAATAAATCAAAGAAACCACCTACCAGTGTAACAGTAAGTATAAATCTGGATAGAGATCCCCAAGAAGGAGCAAGTAACTCCATTAACAACTAACAACTGTAAAAAGAAACTCAAAGGAAAAAAAAAGACTTTCCACAAGCATTACATTAATATTTAGGGGAAAAAAATGAAGCAAGACAGAAAATGATATAAATGAACATGAGGAAAAAACAGAAAGGAAAATAGGTTAAAACCAAAAGTGGTAAACCTTACAGGTAATGGACTTTCTGAAAACTAGAATAGCCAAACATAAATCAATGACTCCAGACAATATGAAATATTAGAACAAAATAAAAGGATTGAAGAAATAGAAGAAAATGTAAGATGTCTGATATTAATAACCACTGACCTGGAAAACAGGTCAAGGAGAAAGAATTTAGGAGTCACTGGAATCCCTGAAAAAGTTGGATACCATACTTTTAAGAAGTCATAAATGAAAACTACCCAGATTGAAACCAGAGGGCTAGATAAATCAAAAGATGAGGGTATATGGGAACAGAGGAGCTCAGCTCTATCCCACCATTAAATAATTTAAATAATGTCCTCCTCCTTCTGATGCTGCTGTTCCCATTTCATTGGGGTGGACCATCTTGATGTCTCTTTTGTGAAGTGGTGGCTGAGAAGGCTGTGGGACTCACCATGACCAACAAGAAGCCAAAGGAAGAAGTCAAGACTGAAAACAATGACCACATTAATTTGAAGGTGGCAGGGCAAAATGATTCTGTGATGCAGCTGAAAGCCTATTGTGAATGATAGGGTTTGTCAGTGAGGGCGATCAGATTCTGATCTGATGGGAAGCCAATCAATGAATCAGACCCATCTTCACAGCTGGAAATGAAGGCTGACGGTATAATTGATGAATTCTAGCTATAGAAAGGAGGTGTTTACTAAAAAGAGAACCCTACTCTAGAACTGTCCTCCCAAGGAAAACAATACATTTACAATTAAAAACCGAGATTTGGTTCATCCACATCCTGACTACTGCAGGATTGTTTTCTCTCTTTTTAAATTCCCTTCCACCATTCCTTAATTGTACATACAAGCACCTGGTATATGTGCACAGGTATAATGCATTTTGGTCAATGATATGTTTTGATCAACATCAAATGGAAATGGGGAAGGGAAAAAACAAACTAGGCCTCCCTTTTCTCCATTAATAGCATGCTCATTCAACTTTTATCTTTATATTTCAGTAAATTATTCTGCTCTCACTCTTTAACAAAAACACACACACACACACACACAAAACCCCACAAAACCCACAAGAAATCCTTGTATATCCCATTTGACTGGATAATTTTGATGTTTTTGTTTTATTACTGTAAAACCAAGAATAATTTTCTAACTTTTTTGTATGTAGCTGTTACATGTAGGGAAATCTGCCTTTTAGTAGAAATATATTACTATAAAGAAATGAATTCTAGATAGTTTTCTTTCAAGTTAAACATCTTGTTGTTTAAATAAACTTCTTCAACACACACACACACAAACACCCCCCCCCCCAATCCTTTTCAATAAAATCAGGTGTAAAGGAAAAATGCCCATTGTCACCACTTCTATTTGGCATAGTACTAAAGTGCTAGCTACAACAATAAGACAAGGAAAAGAAACAGAAGAATAAGTATATGTAAAAAAAGAAACAACATCACTTTCTACAGATCCTATGATGGTACGCTTAACCCTAAAGAGTTAAGTTTAAAAACAATTTTTTTTTTAGGCAATTGGGGTTAAGTGACTTGCCTAGGGTCACACAGCTAGTAAGTGTCAAGTGTTTGGTGTGAGGCTGGATTTGAATTCAGGTCCTCCTGACTTCAGGGCCGGTGCTGTATCCACGGCGCCACCTAGCTGCCCCTAAGTTTAAAAAAATTAACTGAAACAATACCTTCAATAAATTTTAAGGATATAAAATAAATTCACAAAAAAATCTACCTTTATTTTCTAAATAATATCAATAAAACCCAGCAGGAAAATATAGACAGAGAAATTCCACTTAAAATTACTTCAGAATATGTAAAATACTAGGGAGTCTACCTACTAAGATATACACAAAAACTATATAAATACATCTATAAAGCATTGTTTAAAAAAATAAAAACAGCCCTAAATACCTGGTCAAATATTAATTGCTCATAAGTAGGATGAGTCAATCTAATAAAAAGGTCAATTCTACCTAAATTAATTTACTTATTGAATGCCATGATAACAAAACTACCAAAAGATTTCTTTATGGAATATGAAAAAGATAACAAAATTCATACGTAGGTAAAAAAGGCCAAGAATCTCACAGGAAATAATGAAGAGGGAATAAAGAGGGCTTAGCAGTGCCAGATCTCAAACTACACTACAAAGCAATAATTTTCAAAACAATTTAGTACTAGTTTAAAAAAAAAAAAAGAAATCAATCAGC